TGAACTCTCTGCTGCGCTACAGTGACATTCAGTGTAGTCATCTAATCCCACTCTGTTCTCAGCAGATGGGAATACCTGCTTTGGTAAGGTTCATGCTAGCCTTTGAGAGAGATCTTGAGAATTGGAAGAAGGTTTGAAAGGAGGCTTTCAGGAGATTTTGGGTTTAAGTGCTTAAAGGTCAGGACCATCAAATGGCAGCTGCTCAGAAATTATTAGGTTTTGATCTGGTTCCAGTGCCTGCATAGACATAGTCACTGTGTAATTGTGAAGTATTTGCTATTTCCAGCAGTTTATTTGCACTTAAAAAAATATTTAAACCTGGTAAAGCTTAATATTCCCCAGCTAGATGCTGTCATGTTAAGACATTTCTTTCCTTCCAAATACAGCGTTAAAACATTTCTTGTTGTGCAGAACTTTCTGTTCCTTCCTGATTTGCGTAAGGAAGAAACATTACTTGTCTTTGTTAGCTTCTGGGCATTTCCATGAATGGCTATAGTGTTTCTAATGATAGTACTTGTTTTCTTTTCAACATTTATTGTCTCTTTTTACAATATCTTCTGTGTGGTTGCTTCCCATTGCAGACCCCAAATGATTTTCGTGGCCAATAATCATATAATATGGCATCGGGCCATTTATTCACTCTTCAGTGTCTGCTTTCTTTTTTATATTCTTTATATCTCATCATTAAAGAGAGGGAGATTCTCAAGAACAGCTGCATTTGCTCATTTTTACTCTTAATCCCTGAGAAAACAATCGTCCATAATCCACTGTGGACTAATTTGAGTCATTTGGGACATGGTTCTTTTTCTAGCAATTAATTAGTGCCTATTTTTATATAATGCAAGTTATTTCTAAGGGACTGAAACCTTGTGTGATAGAGATGCCACCGGCTCAAAGCTTGTCATCTCAGTTTGAGGTTTGTCCCTACTTCATATACTGTTAAAACACAGCCTGCTTGTATGTAGGCATTTAGTCTGAATATGGCTTTATGACTTTCTCTGTAATGCACATGCAGCTTTCTTCTTTTGTCTAGCTGGCTGAAGTATTGCATGAATCTAGCTCTTCCCAGCTGCTCCTATCAGACAAATTCATTCTTCTCTAGAAGAAAGGCATGATTCCCCTGGACCCCAACAATTCTCATGGAGTCTTTGTTTTCAGGCTGGTTTTGCTCCTAAAGCTGCTACCCCTGGTGACTGCACTGACTACCATTAATTCCAGCTGATCCTGATCTCAACACTTTACCCTTTAATGTCTAATTAGAAAATAACCACTCACAGATGGTTTGCAACATTCAACAGTTTGCTTATGCCTTCATGAGGTCTCCACTAGGTTGGAGTATGGGAGTGTTCAAACCCCTTTCCCTGTTTTTCTGCAGAGAAATCACCAAAGGGATCTCTCCGAGCTTCATGCTTTCCTCAGATGTCCTTTCCAAACATTATCCACTCCAAGCTTTCTCAGTTCTTATTCCTATCTAGAGAACAGAGGATTTCTACCAACTTTCTACCATGTGATTTTCCTGTGAAAAAAATGGGCAGCAAAGTACAAAACATACAAAGTACATGTGATGCAGTGAATTAGGCAATTAAAAGAGGTTACATGACCACTTTATGCTGATCTTTGAGTTGCCTTTGTTCATACTACCTGCCTGCTTTAACCTTGAAATTTGAGGTAACGTCAAGGTTCTGTGGTATGAGAGAGCAGGGCTTTTACAGGTTTGTAATCCTCCATGCGGTGCAGGGCGGTTACTCTGTTTTCTGGCACGAGGAATTATGTATCCTCTCAAGAGCATCCATATTTCACTGTCAGAGCCTGACAGTGCCAAATCCTGCAAGTAAGAGGAGACAGAAGCAACTACTGAGCAGCAGTTATTGGTAGCAGTTCTTTCTCCCCTGCTTCTGTTGTTCTTGGATGCTGAAGAAAGACTATTCTTTTCCATCCTGCCCTTTCTTTCATATGGAATTCTTGCATTTTCCAAACCATGAGGGTTCCCTCTCATGCAGAGTGGAGTTTATTGAGTGGAATGGTGAACACGCTCGTGAGTTTCTTAAGTTGTGGTTTTTTGGTTGGTTTTGTTTAGTTTTTGTAATGGTGCTCTGTAGCAAGTCTAGCAGAATGGTTTTCTGGTTGGAGATTCTGAATCCGTGGGCGAATGACTGCAAGTACAAAAGCCCCAGATGTTTGACTGGAGAATCAGAAATCAGACAGAGGCAGATTCATATGCATGAGGCTATGGAAAGATTTTGACTTCAAAGTAGGGGGGAGCTAACTATAGTTTGTCAAAGCTTTTGCCAGTTCTGTCTTAACTCTTTACCTCCTAAAATGTTTAGTTTCTACAGTTCTAGTACATTATGGATGCAGTACTAAAGCCAGGATCATTACAGCTCTTTTTATATTCCAGTTTATCATTGGCTTGTTGTAAAAAGCCTTGTGTTGATGAAACAGTAGAACAAGTAGTATTAGGTGAAAGTAAATCATGCAGACCTGGGGACTTTGAGCGGTTTCTTGCCTTTTTTTGCTTCATTCATATGGACAAAAATTATCTGAGATATTCTGTGATTGGTGAGATTTCTTCTTGCACTTCAAGATAATTTTTTATAATAAGCATACATTTGTTTTCGTAAACTGCACCACCTAGTGGTGAACAGGCTTTCGGTGAAAAGGACTATTTTAATTTATGGATTTACTCTTTAAACATAACAATAATTTCTTTCTTCGTGTTCTTGACTTTCTTTTTAGTCTAAGGAAATGCTGCCCTCCCTTAAGTTTATTTCTAGTAGTTCATCCTAGGTTAGACACTAGATTAAAAGCCTGTATTTATACAGTGTAAGATTTTTGTGCAGGGTAGAGTTCATCAGTATTACTTTGATAATATTTCTGTAAATTGTTTTAAAATTACTGTTGTATGTTATGTCTTGTAGCTCCTATGCTTATATCATTAGAGATTCCCGCTCATCAATGTATGGTAAAATTTACGCTTTTCTTCCCTTCTCTTTGCAGCCTCACTTCTGATCAGACTCTTCCACGTCAGGGTCCCAATCCTCCTTTTCCTGAAAACTATCACACTTTGCCAAAGAATACCAGGCAGCCTTCAGGGAGCTCACCGCCACCAAACCGCAATCTGCCGAGTGACTACAAATATGCACAAGATCGTGTTAGCCACTTGAAGATGTCCCAGGAGGAAAGGAAAGCAAATAAGGATGGAACTGTTTGGCAGCTGTATGAGTGGCAGCAGAGGCAGCAATTTAAACACGGCAGCCCCACTGCCCCGCTTTATGTAAGTTCTTCAGACTTTATTGATCGTGGTAAGTCAAAAAGTTCATTAGATGTTCCACGATCAATATCTGTTCCACCCTCTCCATCTGATATTCCTCCACCTGGACCTCCAAAAAACTTTTTCCCAAGGAGACCACATACTCCTGCAGAAAGGCTTACAGTTAAACCATCTGATGAGAGACAGACTGTAGACGTTCCTTTTGCTGGATCACCCAGGAAGATACGAAATCATGCTGCAAAGGTTTGTATGCATATAACTGATTTCAAACTATTCTTCATGTGGTGTCACACATGGATAATTTATTTAGTTATGTTTCATTGCATCCTTCCTTGTGTATGAAAGATCATGTAAGTTGTAAAAGTTAATACAATGAATAATTTTCTCATCAAGCTCTTATCATTCTGATCATTTCACATGTATTAATTTTTGTTGGTTAGGAAAGGGAAATTGGTGGCACATCACATTGGTTTGGAATATTTTTATTCAAAAACTCAAAGGCATATGTTTGGATATATAGAATACACAAATGATAGTATTTTAATATGTAGAGTAGGTAGGCAAGAATATAAAACTCAGCAGGATGAACTCTTCCCTGATTATTTATTTATGCTTATCGCTTTAAGTGTTTGCCGTGCCTGCTTGTGTTTAGCTATTGTAGTTACTCTTGCAGCTGATTCAGTTTTTAGTTATGGAAAAAAACACAGTTATTTTTCATGCATTTGATAGTTTAGGTCTGTTGCAGAGTCTTTATCAGTGGGCTAACCAAAATCAAATAGTGCTGGTCTGAAACTTCAACCTTCTCCATGATTTCAGTGTGGGTTGTTTTGTTGGGACTGTTGTACCCTCTTATCCAGAGGTGACAGAAGTTTCCCTTTTCGGTACTCCACATGGCTGTCCTTGCCTAAGGAATTTGGGGAAATTCATGATTGAATCAATGAAGGATTGACTTGTCTTGGTAGCTCTTACACTGGTGGTGAAAGCCACCAGTATTAGGTGTATTCACCTAATTCTCTGACCTCAACCGTGGACTCTGGTGGGGAAAGTATTTGCAAAGAAAGAGACTTGTAAATTCAGATACCCGGTGTGGATTCAGGACCGTGACTTCAGGCTGCAGCTTTGTGCACAGTTTAGGTTTTTTTCCAAGTGTATATGTGGTGTAGCTGTTGGGTGTCTTTCAGCATTTATAGGTTTATAATATTCTGTCAGAGGATTAAATAGTCTAGTGATGTGCAGCACTGGAAATTAATATTTTTTTAACGCGTGATTATATTCTACCACACATTGGTTTCTCCATGTGTAAGTGGAAGGAGCATTACATCCCTTACGAAGGCATGTACAACAGTCTTTTCCCTTCCTGTGCAATGTAGCTGCAGAAATTTTACTCATAAAATAAAGCTCTTTTTATGGCATCCTGGCTTTACCATTATAGGGAAACATGGTTTTCCTCGTAATTAAAACTTCTCTGTGGAACTTCTGTGAAAGTTTCTAGAGAAAAAGGCTTATGTTTTCGTATGTAAGCACACAGCATCCTTTTACATTTAAGTCTGTACTTCTGCAGAAATCTATGACACTCCACACTCCCTGTAATGGCTTATTAAATTCCATCCAGTTACACTTAAAAAAGAAAAGGGGGGGAAGGCAAAACAAAACAGCATTCAGTGAAGTTCAGAGACAGGAATAAAAGTAAATCATGAGACATTTAGTCTGTCTTGAAGAAAGCCATAAATTTTGACTTTAAGAGAAAGATGAAAGGATGGGTGTGCAGTAGGTTTTCATTTTATAAGCAGAGAGGGGCAGATTAAATATGATTATTAAAAAAACCCTTGGTATTAATGGAAGCCATTGCCACAAGGTGTCAGTCATGTCAGTAGCTTAGTGTTCCCTGGCTAAAAGAGAACATTCACAGTTGTTACGGTGTGGAGTACAAGCCTACTGTTGGAGGGCATAAGCCAACCAGCCTTTTTCTGGGAAGCATTGGGGGGGGAACTTTATGAATAATTTTTTTTATTTGCTGGAAGCCACTTTGCATATTCTACTGAAGCACCTCGTACTGCCAGAATCTGCTGATCTGCCCCAGGGTGCTAAATTTGCATTTGTTCATTCATAAGTTTTACTTGTGTATGAAAGATCCTGTAAGTTGTTGATTATATAAGTTGATGATTAAGTTTTACTTAATCATCCACCGTTCAGGCTGGCCCGTGAATGTTACCCTGATCTAAGCACCCTGGGAATTCAAATAGAAAATCTGTGGCAGAGGTGCATTCCGAGTTTTCCCTCGAGTGCAACATACCTGTCACTTGACACAATCCTTAAGAGTTCTGGCTGTGGCTTCTTGCAGAGCTCCACTCACCTGGACCGGCGCTCCATGCCTGCCGTGGGCTACATGACACACACCGTGAGCGCGCCCAGTTTGCACGGCAAGTCGGTAAGTGGAGAGCACAGCTGCTCTTCCTTTTGTGTCCTCAGAGCGTTGCAGTTAAGTTGTAAAATCCTGCTCGGTACTCTTTAATCTTAACTTTATTGGTTAAAGCATAAATAACTCGAATGAGAACTTAATCTTAACCACCTCCCAGTAAAGCCTGTAGGAACTTTGCTGTTATTTGCAGCATGAACAGGGGTGAGATGCCTTGTTATTACAGGATTCAACTTTTATTATGTTTATTTGACCAAATGCAGAGTTAATTGAATAATTGCTTAATCATGTCAAGTAACTGCTTTCTGGGCACTGAGGTGAAAAATGTAATTATAGTTACTCTCCCTGAAGACTGCTAATTTCCTCTTTACAATGTGTCTAAATACCTGCAGCCCGAAGAGCTAACATTGCTTCTCATTCGATTAAGGAGGCATCAGGCTAAGTTGGCTAGTATAAGAAATTACACAATCGCACAATTACTGCAGCACTTGCCAACTAATTCCACCTATCAGGTCAGCTGCTGCGTGGCTCATCTGTGCAGTATGACATTTTGTGACTCTGCAAATGCTTCATTAGTGGCATGCTTGAGTCTGTGCTTTCTTGCCCATTCTTTGGTCTTCTACAGTTCCCAGGTTGTTTGTGGTTTTTCTTTGCTTACTGTTTTTGCTGTAAAAGGTGAGCATTTTAAGTTATATGGCAGCAGTGCATATGTTTCAAAGTGTTATTTCCTTCTTACACTATTTCTGAAAATGCTGCATCTTCAGAAATGTGGGTTAAAATACTAAGTAAGTTCATTCTAAAGCAAAACCATTTCTTTGTGCTGCTTTCATTATGAGATTGCCTCCCTGTGCCACGTGCTGCATCACCTGCAAATTGAAATGCATCAGCCAGTTTGTACATTCATATGAGCTTGTAACTGTGTTGGTTCTGCAGGTGATCATTGGTTCATAAAAGCTCAGGGGCGTGTTGGATCTTCAACAGTGCTCTTGATTGCACTGGTGTTATGAGATCAACCAGAAATGTACTTACAGAGCTCTCTGGTTCCTATTAGAGCCTCAGAAATGGAGCCATCTGGGAATAAAATGTGGTGACTTCTTCGAATTGGTGAAGGCTTTGGCCCAAAGCTAAAGGAATTTTTTTGAATTTGAAGAAGTTTCATTTCCTAAGTTACCTCACCTACAGAACAATTGCACTAAGATGGGCGATAATAACAGGGATTTCTCAAAAAATGGGCAGACTTTCTAGTCAAGTCCTCAGCCAGCCTTACAAGCTGATTGGAAAGGAATTTTAAGTGAACACCTCTAAAGAAATGCAAGTGTGATCTATTGATTTTATGGCATAAAGGTTTTTTTTTCTTTTTTAACTACACATTCTCATTGGCTCAAAACTTGAGGAAAGATATAGTTGTGTTTTTCTTTTATTCTGAAGCTAAATATACCCAGGATATAAAGTCCTGTCAAAATAGCAGTTAAAATTCTAGAAATTTGGGACATTTTGTCTGACTACAAAGCACATTTGCAACAGTTAAATTTTTTTTTTTTTTCTGTATTGCAAATACCCGTTTTGAAAAGAGGAGAAATAACTTTGTTATGACTTTTCTTGAAGTGACTGTAATGAAGATGATGCTAGACCAATATAACTATAAAATTAAGCTGATAGCAATTACAGCTGAGCCAAGGAAAAATAAGAATCGAGTTGAATGCTATTACTTAAAAGACAAAATAGATTCTCTAATCGTGAGATACTTTTCAGTATTTTAGTCACAAAACTTATTTCATACTTTCCATGAATAAAGGAATTAATATTTTAAAATGTGTATGAATTGTGATCAAAAGTATTCTAATGATTAGTTATATGATGGCTTCTAGTTACATCTGACATTGTTAGGTACAAGTCTTCTCTTCTTCCCCCAAAGAGGCAGGGAGGACACCACCATAACTTTTTCAGTGAAGGAACAGTCAGTAGAAATTGATCTTGAAAGTATAGCATTTGAAAATGTATTGTTTGAGGTAGTTCTGTGTCTCATTAGAGGTGGAAAGCAAAAATCTGTGTGTTTGGAGGATGGGTATAAGGCAGTAATATTCTTGTGAAATATTTTGCCCATTTTTCAGCTGTAAATAGCACTATGCTGGTGGAGCAAATCTGCTTATTTATGTACTTCCTACTCTGTTATTTTGTTCCCTCTTTCACCTATTTTCTTATATATAATCAATCCAAGTATTCTGAAATTGTTTCAAAAATTCAAATGTATTGCATTGTTTTTTTCCCTATGCACTTATCTAAAGGCTGATGACACTTATATCCAGTTGAAAAAGGATCTGGAGTATTTGGATCTAAAGGTAAGATTTTACAGCAGTATATTTCCTTTTTTTTTTTTTTTTTTTTTTTTTTGTTTTTTTTTTTTTTTTTTTTTTTTTTAACCCTCTTGTCTTTTGTGTATCATCTTTGTACCTGCAGATTTTCAAGTCACCTACTAGTCAGAGACAGAAACTGTGTTTTTTGCCTCACTGTCGTGCTTAGAATATTGAGTGTCATTTTGGTAATGATTGTACAATTAAAGTGAAAACTCAGAAAATGTAGTTGCTTTAGTTTGTAGGAGGAACTTGGGTTACTGGGACTACGGATGAATGATATGTGAGTTTAGGGAAATCAGATAAAAAATCAGGTTCAAAATGTTTCTATGCTGTAGCATTAGAACCAATATGAAGTCAACACCTCTAAGTTAAATAATGTATTCTTTTAATATTTTTCTCTTTAAATATTCTTGAACTGGCTTTTTCCTTGTTTTTGTAATATGCCATATTTATAATGCCTTGTGCTCTTGTGAAAATGTGGTGATTAATTAGCACCTGTCATTGTTTTTGTGTTATTACAACTAAGAGATTTCAAATGCACCCATTCATCCATCCATCCATAATCTGACCAAGTAATGTTATGAGATATTCTTTTAAAGAAAAAATTAAATAATGTATTGAGCATCATATCATCTGTCTAAACGAAATTACTTCTGTATCTGGTGCACTTGATGGTTAGTAATTTGAAAGCAAATCTAGACTTCTTAATACCAGGTTTTGAAGGGGAAAAAGCCCACCAAAATGTTATAATCATTTTGCTTAGCAAAGCAGCCTGCCACTTTCGAAGGTGTGTAAGATGTCTCACCATATATAAATCATATGGTGTTCCTGAAAATCAAGGTGGAGGGAAATCTGGCACTTTGTTCTCCATATTGTTTGCATGTACATAGTTGATGCCATGGGGTATTGCATATGTGCAACTAATGAGCTGACTGCACCTATGAGGATGTGTATTTCTATTTTATCTGATGTTTTAATTGCTGAATATATAACCAAATATATAAACAAAAATATTAGTAATACGTTTTATACATATATACAATATCATATATATAGAGAGAGATTTAATATTTATCATATAGATGGTATATATAGTCTAAATTATCAAATATGTAAACTGTTGGAATCATTAATATACAAATTTAAAATTGGTTAGACACATTTCATTTTAGGCCTTGTCCTTGGTTTGTTCATGGCTTTGCCATGCATCCCAAACCGTCAGCTGAATTTTATGACAAATTACAATCTAAAAAGTTCTACAAGTTGAGAAATTATTAATAAACACAGCGTTTTGTCCATTATAAAACTCGACAGTTTTCACGGTTAAGGTGACCACAGTTCAAGCCTCTGAAAATTTGATATGCTTAGCAAAATTATTAGGAGGCGTTTTTAACTTTCTAGCAGATTCTGTCCAGATTCATTTGTTGCAGCCTGGGATATGAAGAACTGTTTGGTCTCCCAGGAGCTCTCCCACTGTGCCTGTGTAGCACCTAATGAAATCAGCCAGAAAGAGAAATGTACGGCGGCACCTGATCCTTCAGCAAAAAGAAACTTAATGCTAGTGTTGGTTCCCTCTTGAAAATTTTTGACGGTCAAAATGTCAAGTGTGTTTCCATAGGAATGATGTAATTTTTCAAAATGGGCATTTCTTAACGACCTCCTTTCAGTAGAGGTCCGGAAATGTAAAAATTCCTGTCAGGTTGCTGAGAGATTGAAGACCATGTGACACTTAAGAAGGTGTCTTTGTGTTGGTTGCCACTAGATGCAGAGGTGCTTTTTTTTTTGCAGTAAGAGGAAAAAAGAAGAGTGTGCTGTATGAAAATAAGCAAATTATATATTTTTCTAGTAAGGGTGGAGTATGACAAATTCACAGTTAATCCATTTAAGACAATGAAGGCTTAGATAGAAAGCCTGTTAGTTCAAGCCTCTCTTTTGGCTTCACCACACCCATGCTAATTAAACAGTTTCAAATAGGACTGAAGATTTTGGAACTGGAGTTAAACTTTTTTCTTTTCACTAAATCTCTTATTTCTGAAGATTTCTCTTCATAGGGGTTTTGAAATACGACTTTTCAACATGTAAATTGTGATTAAACCATTAACTGCATAATGCTTGCTATAGTACTAAAACTGATTATAGTAACTGGTTACACAGCATTTAGTGATTTGTTGAGGTTCACATGTTTTTGAGCCTATTTTTTTTACTATTTAACAGTCTTAAAATACTATATAAGAAATAATTTTTGTGTTAAGATTATATTTTCAACATTATAGTTTATTGTCACATCATAAATATAAATGAAATAAAAATGCTCTAAGATGGATATTAATCCATGTCAGTAGTTTCCTCTTACATGTCACTTAGTTCTGACATGAAAAAAAGAATAAGTCTAAAGACTGTTCACACCATGAGGAAAAATTATTGATAATTCCGAAGATGCAAAACACCATGCATTGTGGAGGTTTCTTTTAACAATATTGTCCTTAGATTAGGAGCCTTTTTTCTGCCCAAATTGTTACCAAGACTCTGTATTCTTCTTTAATCCATGAAATAGAGGCATGTGGAACATGGAAGAAATGGTATATTTATATGCTATGGCATAACTATACCTCTTTTGGAGAGAAATTTCCGCAGCTGTATTTCTGCAGTTGGATTTTTTCAACCTTTAAAGTGGACAGACCCTGTATGAGAAAAGCAGAAAGGGAGAGCAAAGAAAAGAAAAAACTCAATTTCCCCCCGAAACTTCTAAGATGACACAAATGGTGAAGTGAGCGTCCCCTTTTTGTGGCTATGAAATGAAGTTCAGACAGGCTACAGGAGGGATGGATGGGCAACCTCATGTCAGAATACTTTACAAACATTCCCTAACAAGTTATACAAAATATGGATGAGGAAATATAGGAAAATTTGTGTCACTAAGCATAAATCATGCAACCAGTTGAAGCAAATCTGGAGCCCTCTCAGGGGTCCTGCTTCATTCTTCTGCAGTCAGACTGTAATATCTGAAGCTGTTTAGTTTCTTCTGCAGTTGAAAGAGGTTTCTTCTGCAAGCTTCTGTCACTTAGATAATGAAGAATACAGTGCACAGCAGGTATATGTTATAAAAGTGATTGAAATAACATTTTTCTCTGAGGTTTTAACTAGGTTGCTCAAATTATCAGTGTAGAGAGTTCTCGGTGCAAGTGTCACTGAATATTACATGACAGAAAATACCATGGTGTGTTGAAACTGCAACTGGATGAGACTGAGCAAATCCTGGGTTTTTTTTTTTTTTTAATGTGTGTTTTGAAGAAGTAGAAAAGTCTTGTTGTTGCATGAAGAATCTATCAAAAATATGAGACAATAGGGGTAGATTCCAGGTGTAGCTTCCATCATGGCAGATGGTGCAGACCATAAACCTTGAGGATCGGTGTAACACAAGAGCATGTGATTACTGCTGCTCGTGGAGTTTTGAGTTGTAAAGTTTGGGGGTTTAAATCTTGACATCTGTAACAAGCTATTACTAAACTTTTGTTTGAAACAGATAGAAAATAATGGACCTCTGATCAACATGATATACAAAGTGCTAAAGAACTCAGCACAAGGGTTACTATCCAGTATACATGTAAGACTGCCTGCATCTGAAATGTGCTCATCCCATTGCTTTTTAAAGTAGCAGTCAGTGTTCTGGCTTTTATAGGTGTCTTATGGTAAACAGTAGCGCTTTCTGTGAGATTATTTTTTTCTTTCCTTTTTTTTTTTCCTTTTTTCCCCTCATTTGGGGTCTGTATGCGAAATTATGGCTGACTTCAGTGTTTGGTTTAATTTTGAAAACGATTGTGTCAAGTAGTGACTCCTCTGTGAAATTTTGGAAACGTGAAAGCATGCTAAATCTTCATTATGTTCTCATGTTCACTGCTTGATAATTAACAAATTCCTTACAATTTTGATTATGTAAGTTAAAGTATCCCCGAAATCTGCAGACTTGTTTTTATGTTAATTCCATTGCTTTGAAAAAGGCTTTTGCATTCTCTTAGCTTGCAGGTGATGAAATATGCAAAATTATTACTTTGATTGCTAGTATTTTATATTTATATTTAATTACATTACTATTATATATGTGATTTAGCATTTAAATAATTCCATTAATACTTTTGAAAGAAAAAACCCCACATCATTGTTGAAAAAGAAAATATCAAAAAATTGAAAGTTTTGAGAGGCAATAAGTGCTTTTGGTTTTGGTGGTGGGGAAGTAACATTTCACCACATAAAGGTATGAGAAGTCTTTAAATGGAGCCTGCCGTTGGAGGAGAGAAGACACTAAACATAAATGATGACCAGACCCTTCTGTTTTAAATCTGCTTTGTTATTTGAAAACACTATGTGTGGATGGCTAATTTCATGTAACATGTTACATTACATGTTAAAGCTGAGATTATATCAAGGATTTATCTACAGTAAGAGTAAAATAGAAGTACTTTTAAAAAGCTAACATGGTCCTGTAGGTGACTTTTAGGTTAATAAGTAAACTATGTAGCTTCAAGTCTGGAGATTGCCAGTCAGTCGGTAAAAAAGCAAACTACCTCTTCTACCCCACCAGAAAAGCCAGCAGCTTTTGCTCTTACGTTAAAACCTCTTCTCTTACATTATTGAAGACAATATTCAGGTGAATTTTTCTTCATAAACTCTTGATGGTATATGAATAGGAATATGTTGTAAAGGAGTACTACTAGCTACCAGGTGTTTCTTTAGTAAGATAGTATTTGCTTTAATGAATCTTTAAAAATATTCTAATCTGATAATATTAAATCATTAGATTTTCAGGCTTTTAAAAATATATGATTAATGAACTGTATTACATTGCTGTTTTCTTAACCTCATTTATTCACAAAAAAAAGTTATTTACATGGAGGCAGTGGAAATAATAAACATTTCTGCAGAGATAGACATGCCTTCACTTTAAGGTTGCTATGAAGGTTGGAAGTATAATATAGTATCGTTTCTGTACTGATTTAAAAACTGTGTTATGTGAGAAGATAATCTTCTCAACCAGAAATGGAATATGAAACCAGTGATTTATGGAATGAGAGATTTGGTACATTATAAACATGTCAAAATAGATTAATTGCATTTAATTCCACTATAGCATTTTTATAGCATTCTGTCTTTAATAAAATTTACCCTGTGCTGAGGAAGATACTGTCCTTTGTAGAATGAAATACTTGCCAAAAGTTGTATTTTTAGTCATTAATGAATGCTGCTATTCTAGCAACCATCCATGTAAAGGAACTATTCAAGTCCTTTGGCTTCAAGAAAGCTATTATAGCTGAACTGTTAAAACTACTGTATTTTGCAGGAAAAGGACCTTTGTAACCATAGATAGGTGGGATTATGCTTCTTTGTACAGAGTTCTAAACTAGTGTAAGAATTAAATAGGCTAATATAACTAGTAGTTATTTCTGTTAACACTCTTCAAAAACTAAAGCCAAATTTGAAAATATTTGTACCCCAAATTTTATTAATTTTTGTTAATAAACATGAATATTTAACAAAACTTTTCACTGCTGAAGCATAACTAGGTTTTAGTTTGGAACAAATTCCTTATATTTTTAAAACCTGTTCCTCTTAGGTGACAGGACGTGACACATTAAAAGAAAGAAGTACAAAACCTGTCAAGATTGCAGAAAGTGATATTGATGTAAGTATCAAACACCACTTCAGCACCTCTTGCATTGATTTGGTTGTTTCTGTTGGGCAGTTACATGTTCATTATTATACTTTTGGGGGTAAGATATTACAAGTGGATACTCTTCTGCTTAATTTTTAAAATCTAGTATTATATATGTATATTATTTCATTTCCAGGTGAAGCTAAGCATTTTCTGTGAGCAGGACAGAATTCTGCAGGATTTGGAGGACAAAATAAGAGCCCTTAAGGAGAATAAAGTAAGTAGATTGAAAAGGGATTAGTAAAATAAAGCAACAGCTTTTATCTAATCATAAAATATGAAATTCCAAACAAAAATTGAATTACTGGATGCTTCTTGCACTGTAGTAGTTTTCTTTGGACATGTGTATAAACTTCTGTGAGAAAAAGATGGGGGTGGGGGTGGGGGCGGGGGGGGGAGGTGTTTATGTCAGGGCTGATTACCAATTCTTAGAAAACATGTTTTTGAAAGTGAATGTTTTAAATCCATCTGCTTCCCTGCTGCCTATGAGCTGTAGCTGTCAGTAAATTAAGGGGGTTCAGAAAACAATCTATTCTAAAATGAAAGTGCTGTTCAGGTGGATTCTTCAGTAGAGCTGCTTTGCAAAAATGATTCCACGTTATTTCCTCCTGACTGAATGAATTGGACCTGCTTCATGTTTTAGACAATATTTTAATCTCTCACATGGCTCATTCAAGTATAACAGTGAATGAGAATCTGTCCTTAAACAAACAGCTCATGCTGGGCTGTGGTAGAGCTGTCACAGTTCTATACTGATTAAGAGAATTTTTCTGAAACTGTAAATTACAGTTTCGTACAGAGTGTAAATAGAAAAATTCCCTTCTCAGTGCATTGTGTTTTCCACAGTTTGGGCTACTTAATGGAAAGAATTAATGGAAAGTATCAGATAATTTTTGTTATAATAGGTAACTAAGGCTCTTGCACTTTTTTGTTACTGTTGGCCTCCTAATCTCCAAAACAGGAGGCCAGTCCTCAGCTCTACTGGGAAACTTGTGGCATGGAAAATACATTTCATATTACTACAGGTGGGTGCATAAAATTCCATGTAAATGTTGTAGACTTATTGTTTCTTTGCTAGGATCAGCTGGAGTCTGTTTTGGAGGTTTTACACAGGCAGATGGATCAGTACAAAGACCAACCACAACATGCAGAAAAAATATCTTACCAGCAGAGACTTTTGCAAGAGGATCTTATACGTATTCGGGCTGAAATATCCAAAGTTTCAACGGTATGTGTTTCTGGTTGCTTCAAGAAAACCATAACTAAAATACCAGGTTGAGTAAAACTGTATTGTTCATTGGAAAGGGGAGTTAAGTCCTGTTCTGAACAGTTTTGGTTAAGATACAGAATACTAAATCAGGTAAAAATAATTAAACAACCTCTTCAGCTTTACTTTTCAATATTCCCTGCCCCTGCAAAAAAAGATTACTCAGAAAACTTTTTATGTCTTTTTATTCTATGTGTGGGCTTAAATTGCAAATCTTTCAGCTAGTCCTTTAAAAATATAAAGGTGATTCCATGATATCTTTCTAGGGCAAAAGGAACTGGGAAAGTCTGTTGATATTTCAGTCAAAATTTACTACTGATATTGTAATTCAATAAAATTAAAATGTAATTTAATGTTGCATTTTATTAATAAAATTATTTCTAAGAATTGGCCATGAAAGAGAGTATATTAAAACTGGGTGAAGTGTATCCACTCTATTATTCCTACCTTTTAATGAATATGGGACCAGCTCTTTGTAACATTGTTGGTAGAGTTGCATGAACACCTTTCCCATAGAAAGATCTGATCATTAAAACATCAGGATTATATAAATATATAGATACAGTGGTTTGTGCCTATAGAAAACATATGACTTTCACAGTCAGCACTTAAAATGTGAATGTGGACATAAATAACAAGTCATTGTAATAAAGGCTGTACTGGTCAGTCCAAGGCACCTTCTAGTCCAGAGTTCTGGCTTCAGCAGTGGGCATAAGCACATGCTTAAGGAAGAGTAAGGGTAGGAGAGGTGGGTAGTATTTCCTATCATAACCAATCCAGCTTCTAACTGTTTTCTGCTTGGAGAATTCCCAGGACTGTTTTTTTGTTATTTTTTTGGTCTATTTAGTAATCCTCAGTAGATCGTTTCCAAAAACCTATTAAGTTCCCTTTTAAATTCAGTAAATCTTCTGCATGCAAAACATCATTTGGCGAGGTATTGCACAGATCTTTTCTCCACTGCATGGACAACCCCTTTTCTTTTATTTGTTTTGACCCTGACTTGTACATGTGTAATGTGATAGACCCTTGTATGAGAGAAGGTGGGGAACAGTCAATCTGCTCTCTCCATGGCACTCATGGTTTCATAGACCTCCATGATTTCTTCTCCTCAACTCCCATGTGTTCTCTTTTCTAAAATTCAGAGAAAAGCCTATTTCCTCATCCTGTACATAAAAATGTACCAGACACTTGATTTTTCTCAGTTCTGGGTCAGAAGGCTGACTGTGATACTATGGATGCTGGAAGTAATCCGAGTACAGTAAAGGTGATTGGATAGCCTTATTCTCCAGATGTCTGCTGGTTTATTCACTTTATAACATATTCTGTAGAACTGTTGAAGGATAACCTGCTCTGTGTTTCAAGACATGACTTCTGGTATAGGTCACTGGATTTTAATTATAAACTTGTTTTCAACAGAGGAGTAAATTAAAAGGAAATGGAACTGCAATAGGCTCAATTCCCTCACAGAGTATACTTCAGATTCTATTACATGCCAATTTTATACTTAAGAAATGGGTTTGTGTAAGGAAGTTGGCCAGAGTTTTTTAACTAGGGATTCTTGACTTGATCTTGCAAGCTGTAAAGCATTTTGAAGTGTATAATCAACTCTAAGCAACGATGGAGACTACAAAATGGATTTTTTACTTCTTTTTATAGTAGAACAACACTAACTTCAAAACACTTTGGTGCTCCACTAGAGAATGATTTTGTAGTTTATCATAACATTGTATTAGAGTATTCTCTCTGTTAATAGGAAATGGAAAATGCCTGGAATGAGTATCTGAAATTAGAAAAGGATGTGAGCCAACTGAAAAAAGCCTTACAGGAACAGATGAACAGTTCATTGCTATCTCAGGTGGGTCCATTTCCAGACATTGTAAACACTTATAAGATGATTTTGTCTGAACTTGAAGCTATCATCTCATAACAGAAATTCTCTGCAATTTTTGCAGTGCATTCAGCTGTCATGTAGTTTAGTTGGTGGAATTCAGACACTGCAGCAGCCTGGCTGTGCAGGGTAGGGCGTCTGGCAGCACACGCAGTAGTGTCTCATAAGTTGTCTATGCAAATTTGTCATTATTTTATTACGTTTTTATTACATGCTGACATCTTGACGTTGATAATGTATTTAATTTATAAGACTATGCAGGACTTCTTAGTCTTCCATTTATTTGATCTGACATTGTTGGCTTCTTTATCCATTTTTAAGATCATCAGTCACTGGATTGTTATCGTCATTACTTGTTCTTTGTCATGTTCTTCTATTTGTGGAAGATTTATCTCTGCAGATTGTTTTGTGAAGTGGAATAAGTGTTTTAACAGCCATCAGTAATTGAAAGACATCTCAGTTTTAAATCAATTATTCAGTTTCGAATCTTAAAAAGAAGCTTTGTTTGAAGCTAAGTTATTCTCTTTGCTGAACTGGATGTGGCATACCAGATTATTTCTACATACCTGCTTACAACTGGTGACTTTATTCTTGGAGCAAGAAATGCAGACTGGATTGCATTTCCTTTGTTTAAACAGAACAAAACACAAGGAACAAAGCTAATGTATATATTTTGCTCAAATTTTGGTCTGTTTTTCCAAATATTCTGGGCCAAAAGAAGGCACTAGTTAAATTTATTTATTTGCAATAAATATCTGATCAGATATGAATTGAAACCTGTTTATTTTTACTATTAATGGATAAATGTTTTGCATCAAAGCAAGAGTTGTAAAACTTTTTTTGGGTGCATCAATCTTCAAAGTCTATTTTCATTTGCTTTTAATTCTAGAGAATGGGAAAGTGATTTATTTTCTGGAGGCAGAATATTATGTAATTAAGCTCAGCTGTAGATTATGTATTTCAAAAAAATCTCAGGGGGATTTCAGAATAAAATGGTCCCTGTATGAAGTTTGTTTAACAAAGGAAAATTACAGGTTTAAACAAAATATACTTTGTTAGATTACTTTAACAAACAATTTCCAGTTGAGCATTGAGCATGCTTAAAATACTGGATGTGTGGCATGAGATTCACCAATAGGTACGGAAGGGAATACAGTTTGCACAGAAAAAAATGTTAATTCAGTTTGATTATCATCTCATATCACATACGTGCATAATTATAAATACACACAGAAAGCACATTATCAGTTCTGTGTGTGTATACTTACATATATATGTATATATTAGTATGCATGTATATGTTTGGCTCATATTAAAAAAATATTACTGAATACCTATTTTGGATTTACTAAGGGGAACTGATTTTTTCGGAAAGTACCAAATATTCTTCAAATTATATTCCTTCAAAGAAGTCTCACTTGAAGTACCCATAATAGTTAGAATTTTTATGATCTCTGCCCAAGGGTATGTAGGCAGAAGATTGTTTATCTAGGATTTTCCAATAGCACTAAATTAATACACACATGGCATTTAAAAAAAGTCTTCATGGAATATTATTAAAAATTTCTGTAGGAAACCACTAATATAGTTTCTATATAGCATTAATTTAGAGGTCAAAAACTAAATATTTCAAGCAGCTTGGTCATAGTAAATCCGTTTAAAAAGTATTGTAAAGAATCAGGCTCTTAAGAGTACAGCTTTATTGTCTTTTGCTTACGGGCTGGAGAGGATCTGGGCATGCTGAAATTAACTGACATGGGCTATTTTAACAGTGATAACTTCTTAGTGGGTGTTTCTCCTCTGGTTTTGTAAGTCATTCTAAATTATGTTTCTGTGTAGAGGAAGTTAGAGAAATTGAATTCTCTATCCAGGTTACTTTTTCATGCTGGCCCATAAAGTATATTTATACCCTTTTGTAAAGAGCAATCTTGGCTTTCATAATTTTAAAATGAATTCATCTGCTTATTGTTCAGACCTAGTCCATTTTAGGTCTAAAATATTCTCTCCACATCAATATTTAAGTAATGGAGAGAAATAATATTAAAAGATCTGGCTTTTCTACATTGCTAATCAATGTTTTCTGAGTGGTTTCAGAAGCAGGATTTTTGGTACATCTAGTGGTTTTTTCTGCCATTCTGAGGCTTGATTATTGTAAATCCATCATTTGGTTCCTTGTAGTATGATTAATCTCAGAAAAATGAAATGAAATGTGCAAATTTATAGTTTGTGTCCTGACAATCTTTCAAGATATGTCCCATCTATCCAGTGAGTTTACTACAGGCAAATAACGTTCTCCATCATTTAAATGTTTGTGTTCTTGGCATCCTGTTTGCTGATCTGTAACCTGGCTGAACATATTTCCTGATCTAAGACAGAAAGTGGAAAGCAATTTATATGCCTTCCTTAGCTCTATGAGGTGTAACAGCTTTTACTGAAGTTTTTTTCACTTTCAGGCTTATAGGATTAATTAGTAGCTATTTTGTAGCTCCTGGCAAGTGATGGATTTCTACAGAGCAGCTTGTAAGCAATTCTTAACTAAAGTATTTCACTGCCTTCTGCTTTCTTTAATAGTACTGGTTTTACTACGTTTATTCTTGATGCAAATTTTTGCAGGCAGAGTTACCAGGCTTTGATTAATTAGATGACTATAACTATTTATGATGATTGGAATGGCTGAAGTGGAGGCTTCAGTAGCCAAGGCTCTGTCTGTGAGATAACAGTCAAAAGCAGAGTCCAGACTGTAGACAGTTTCCCTTTCTTTCCTCCTGGAAAGGTGTGGTAAAACAATTAGGATGTGAATGAGACCAAATCCTGTAACAGCAGCAGTATATTGTTTCAGCCTATAATACATCATGTCCAGTAGGCCTATCAACCCAAATATAAGCAGAAATTAAAATTGTCAGCCCTTCTGAGTTTGTTTGGGTTTTGTGTTTCATCCATTAAAAGCCATTGGAAAGTTTATGGCAGGATTCAGGGAGATGATACCAATTTTTTGCTTTTTTAATATTGGACATTTCCCCTAAAAGTATTAAGATGAGATTCGTAAGGCTGCTATAGCAGTCTTAAGTGTGTTAGTTATAGGATTTAAGGACAAAGTTCAAGTGAAAAGATTGTGTAAGCTTATTTTATGTGAAACATTAAACTAGGTTTTTCTAGCCTGAATAATATTGTAGAAAAAAATGTAGAGGTGTCTCTTTTCCCCAGTGTTCAATAGGAAGTCTTCCAGGACTCAGAAAATGCTCTAATAAATTTTACGGGCAAGATAAGTTGGTTGGTGTTGGGTTTGGGTTTTTTTAATTATTATTTTAAAATAATTATTTAACTCATTTCTGGACTCCTAAGTTTTCACGTAAGTTCTGAACCACTAATTTGGGTGTGGTATCAAAAGAAGGATAAACCCATAGTAAATTAAAAATGAGGTAAAGTTGATTTTTTTTCTTTTACTACAAACATCAGGAGAAAACACAAATACAAAAAGACTTGTGGAGAATTGAAGATGTTACAGCTGGCTTGAGTGCAAATAAAGCAAACTACAAAACCATAGTAGACTCTATTAAGAATCCAGGTAAGGAGAACATGATGAAAAAATAAAAAAATGTACAAATGCAACTGAATCTGTGCAAATAGTCTGAAAGTTTGTTCTACTACAGAAAGTCCAGTTAACTCTATTGAATGTATTAGAAATCTCTGTTAATTGAACACATTAATTTGGTGTTTCTTTTCTTGAGGTGACAAGGTTTTTTGTAAAATGTAACAAGGCATGAAGAAAAGGAACAACAATAACAATAATGGGCTAAGTTCTTCAAGTTGCAGAAGGAGTTTCTGACGTGCTAGGTTCATACCAGCATAGAATCTGTTCTGTATTGTGCCCAGGAGCTCCCCTCTGTGTTTTTCTCTGGGGTGTTTGGTTGTTTTTTTCTTTTCCTCTTGGATGCTGCCCAGCTGCCCTTGCTGCAGTTGCCTTCCCCCTCCCTCTTCAGGCAGGTGTTTGGTGGGCAGAGCAACCTCATAGTGGAAGAGAGGAAGGGAAGGTGTGTGTGGTCTGCATTTCAGTTGCATTATTACATTTCAAAGAAAAGACAACGCACTGGGATAGCAAGAGACTGTTAACGCCTACTGTAAATCCACTCTATGTTTCAAGTATCTTTGCTCACCTTTTGCATACAGACATAAATAGTTACGAGATGGTGAGCTCTCATTTTATTTATGGTATGGCTGTCAGTGCCTAGCCTTGTCTAGATCTGTAGGCATCTTAAGGAATCTGTGGCATGGGCCAGATACAGCCTGTGAACTGATTTCATATGATTCTCAGGCTTTTCCTTCCTTCCTTCCTTCCCACTGTGCTCTGCAAGGAATTTCAGGATGATATTAAACTGTGTGGTTTTATTTCTGGCCTGAAAGACTTACTAGATTCTCATTAAAAAATGTTTTCCACTCTTGTTACAATGTAACGAACAAACATTTCTTATGTCCAGAACCCCCATTTGTGTTCAAAGCAATGAGTAAAGGACAAGGGCTGTTTTGTGAAGTCTAAGTATTTTAATTGCTATTCTTATGAACATCACTGGTAGGAAACAACACTTAGCATGTTTGTCTGTTTTTCCCCTAGAGAGAAAAACAGTGCCTTCATTTTCTCAGTCTTCAGTGCCTTCCTTACCAGCTTCCCTTGCAACTGCGGAGAACAAACTTCCAGTTGCGCAGAGCCCTCCACGCAGCCCGGTTAAATCCCCCCTGGAGGTCAGGCTGTATCCACAGCCTTATTTCCAGACCAGAACACAGCACCAAGCACAGCAGCTGAAAAAAATCGAGCCACCTCTTCAGTCACCAGTTAAGCTCAAGCCAAAGGTTGTAAGTACTGCTCTTCTGTGATTCATTCACCAGTGTTTCCTTTTCCTTCTGGCAGGAACAGTGAAATGTCATGGTTACGAAGTGCACACAGTGTGGAGGCACAATAGGGAGGCACTTAGGATGTTTCTGTTGAATCTGAGCAGTAGTACAGCAGAATACATGTGTGTAACCTGGAGCTTTATGTACAGTGGCCATATACTGTTTTAGAACTTATTAATTCACAGCCTTTCTTGGGAATACTTTGTGGTTGATTTCTTGGGCCTCATTTGGGTTTTAAAGCCTCAAGCTCCTGGTGTGGGCAGAGGAGAGCATGCTAGATCAGTCACAAATAACATATAATGCAATGGACTTTCAGTTTGTGCCAGACTGTTTTGAGACTGTTTGCCAAATCCCTATGCTTTCCTGTTGCCAGGAAGATGAAGCACCACCCAGACCTCCTCTCCCGCAGCTGTACAGTCCTGATGATCAGCCACCAGCTGTTCCACCTCTCCCGAGAGAAGCCACTGTCATCAGACACACATCAGTGCGGGGCCTGAAACGTCAGTCAGATGAGAGAAAGAGAGACAGAGAACTCGGACAATATGTAAATGGAGATTATAGGGTGAGCACTCATACACCTATACCCCTGCATTTTAAACTTATGTGCACCTGTAATAAAAGATACTATTGTCTCTGAAATATATGGACTTGTAAGTCTGGTATTAATGATATCTAATGGCATAGAGATGATAATGACAAGGAGAGACCTATGCCATGTAATAATAGCGGAGAGAAATTTAGTGATCCAGAAACAAAGCTTTAGGATTTGTTTTAAGATTATTAAGACCTTCTGTCTCTGATTTCGTTTGAGCTGATGAGTATTTTTCTGTATAGGTGGAACTGCGTTCATACATGAGTGAACCAGAACTGGCAATGATAGGGGGTGACCTCAGCCATCCTTCCAGTGCTTTAATAAACCCTGACAGTGGATACCAGACATTACCTACCCGTGGTAAGCCAGGAATTTATGTAGTTGATTTTTAACAGTACTATCTGTATAGGAGCTTTTCTCTCCTAGAATGTTCTGGAGATGACATTTATCGTCAGATCACTATTTTTAGATTAACTATACAGTGCTGTGAAAGTCTAGAGATTTTATGCATTTTAATGGTGCTGTTACAGTCAACCAGCCTTTTGCAAAGCAACTTAATATATAAGGCTTAAAAAAACCCATAGCAAAACATGGAATTAGCTGTTAGAATCTCTTATATTCAGTTATTTTTCCTCATAATTTCTATGTAATCTTTTACAAACACTTAATATTGCCACTGAAATGTAACTGATAAAAAATATGAATTTAAAGCCCTCAGATATTACATCTGAATTGACACTCCATCCCTACTGTGCTACACTGCTGTAACTATTTCACAAATGAGGATAGACATGATATTTGGGTAAAAGCAAATTCTTAGCCATTCCCTTCTTATTTCTTTCCTTTCGAACTGTGAATGTTAAGGTTTGATTTTCTTCATAGAGGTGATTATTTGTCCAGTGTATCTACTCTGGTACAGCTGATTTCACCCCATCCCTCACTTAATATAAGTTTCTAAATTATTGTAGGTCTTTCTGAATTTTGATCAGTAGTGACCTGAAACACATTATGTTTGGCTGAAATGAAATTTCATGCGTCTCATGATCTTCTGAACTGCAAAATGTGAAATGCAGGCTAAAATAGTAGCCAGAATGTCATAGAAACATGATGACAATGTAAAAAAAGTATCTGTCTTGTCTGTCATTTGGTTTAAGGCATTCTCTTTTTCCTTATAAAGGTTTGTCTGGATCAACTTCCAGATTGCACCAGTCATCTACCATTTCATCGTTTGCAACACTTCGAAGGGATAGGTCCAAGGTAAGTTTTAAATAAACATCTGAAGGCAAATGTCTGAACTGTTGAAAATAGTTAAGCCCAAAATACATTTTGCATAGCAGGGAGTGGGACTGCAGTAAATGGGAGAGGACCAAGAGCTGCGATCTGATAAAATCTCCAATTTTTCACTTTCTTAAATGAATTGGAAAACAGACAAACAACTTACTGCATTTCAAATAGATCTATAAAACAAGGTTTAGAACCAAAAATCAGCACTACTAATAGAAAACACAGAGTCGAAACATGCAAATAAATGCAAAGGAAATAGAGTAAAATTTACTAATAAGGTAGCAGAAAGAGTTCATTTTTTGTATACTTTTTATGAAGTATTAATTACAAAACGTGTTTTGTGTGCCTTGTGACTTTTACAGGAGAGACCAAAGAGTGCCTTGGAACGTTTATACTCTGGAGACCACCAAAGAGGCAAGATGAGTGCGGAGGAACAACTAGAAAGAATGAAGCGACATCAGAAGGCATTAGTCCGTGAACGCAAGAGGACTCTTAGCCAAGGAGAAAGGCAGTCTGTCTCATCTCGGTCTTTCATCAGGCCCGTTTCTGCAGACGTAGGCTCAGTATGTTAGATATGCCTTAAAAGGACTAAACTAAAAATATCTTTGGATTTATTCTTTTTTCCTGGCAAGCACTTTCACTTGAGTGTGTGTGTGATGCTCCTAGTCCAATTAAATTAGTGTTACGCAGTATCAAATGAGTTCAGAGAGCGTGAGTAACAGGTGATCTTTTTTACCTGTAGTAATGGTGAATGTCGAATGTTCAGCAGGTAAGTTGGTTAGAGGTTAGAGTGATGAGTGGAGATGCCAGTTTATTGGGTTGACTTCAGAGCCATGAGTTTTTATCCTTGGAATTGTATTTAGAAAGTGTAAGAAGCGTGTACAGTTTTAAAACTGCTTCATAATGGAATGGGCCTTTTAGAATGTTCTTATTCACCATGGGTATTTTTCTTTTTAATTCATAAATTAGTCTGTGAGATAGTCATGGTAATATCAGACCAAGGTGGTGTTTGGTTTTTTTTAAAAAGATGATAAATGGATAATCAGTTTTAAAATCTAATCATGCGGATTAGGAATTTATGTCAGAATTAACTTGTTTTAATTGATACAAACTCTTCTTTAAAGCTCAAAACATGGAATATTCTAATAAGGCTCAAATTTAAGCTGCTGAAGAAAAGTATTTTTGTTGTGTTCCGAGAATAAATGCTGTACAGACAATAAGTTTATAATGATACGTTTTGGATACTAACCAAAGCAATTCTAATTGGTGAAGTTACCCAGTTGCTCACTTGGTGCTAAACCAAGATTGTACTGTAATTGCACTTATGCTGTGGTCTTTTAATTTATTTTTTTATTTGGTCCACTAGAGCTTTAGAATGATCACATTGTTTTACCTAATTCATTGCACAAGATCTCTTGCTTTTAGATTTGTCACTCATCATACCTAATGCCTCTTTTTTTGTTTGCTTGTTTTTAATTTGCAGAATTATGTAGTTACTTTAAAATTTCTAACTGGACTACTCAATTTTTACCAGGCTTAATTGCATTTAGTACATGTGTGTCAATTGCTGGCATTAAAAAAACCTTATAATATTCAGCTTTTCATTCCCACTGTTCTGTAGTACTAATTTACAGCCAGTTATTTGTATTTACTTTCCCAGTAAATACGAGTGCACTGCTTGGAGACATTCATCCATTTTGTCTTCTGTTTTGCAATCAAAAATTTTTTAAAGACAGTGCATAATGTTTGGGAACTTAAGTACTATATTATCACTGTTATTTTCGTATTTTAATTAGAGGAAATAAATCTAGGCTTCATATGTTTCCTGACTCGCATAACATACACAAATCGAATTTAAACATTTTCGTAACACTCGTTATTAACATTTGTGGCAAACACTTTATTTATAAATTTGGGTGCCATCTTGGTCTTTTTCTTGCTGTAAAGAATTAAAATAGAGTTTTTCAGCCCTAGTAATGTTTTGTAGAGGTCATCTCTTGTACCTATAGGGCTTTGATATGCAAAAGCATGTTTGATAGCACAACTACTTACAGCATTACAATGATTTAGCAGCCAAAATGGCAAACAGTTAAATGTATAATTCAAGTGCTGCTCAGTATGTAACTTTTGCTTTAGACGTAAATTGTATGTGTAGTTCTAATTTTTAATTGGTCAGCTCTCAAGTGTAGTATGACATTTCAAGTATTGATCACAGTACCTGAATTCATTTGTTATATACATTGCCTTTTTAATGTAAAAGTTGCAACATCAAAGCCAATAAAAATCCTGCTTCGTAAGAATGGTTTGATGTTTTTCTTACCTATATATAATAAGTTGAAAATGATACTGTGTATTTAAAATATACTATGTCAATCAGGCCTGGTTCGAATATGAGTAGAAGGAGTTTGGAGTACTCATGAGAAAACTTTTTTTTTTCTCTTTTGAATTCTGTAAAGAAACATCTCAATTTTTGAGGTATAATTGCCTTTTAGCTATTCAACTTTTTTAATATACGTGGAAGATACTTATCTTCTGAGTGAATACTGAGAGCTTGTGCATGAATAGGTTTCAATTAGATTTATTAATGCAAGTAGCATAATGACGTCTAAGGACTTCATGTGGAATTCAAACTTCAGCCAAAACAAGCCAAAGATTTGTACCAGAAATACTGGAGATATTTTTAAGAATACATTCTCCTATTGATTGCCTCAAATGGTTGAGGGGATAATTTTTTTTGTTGTTGTTCCTTTTGTCCCTTCTTTTTCCCACTACACTGCTTAAGTTGCTCAGATCTACTGAATGGAATGGTGCTACCACTGAACTTAATTTTTTGAACAAAAAAGGTCTTGGTAGTGTCCTTAAGTGTGAGTAGCTGTATTGTGTGTAGTTGTGAAGGAGGTACTGTGAAGTGATTTGGGAACTCTAAATTATGCTGCTTAATTTAAATATGCTAAATTTAAATATTTCATATTGATAAATATTTAATATTTCTAATTTATATTGATAAGTATTTACCTTATAAAGACTGTGTGAAAGATTTTTGCAGTTAGCTAGATTCTGCTTTTAATGAAGTCAGAAGAGCTTAGAAGTTAAACACTTTTTATTTCAAGACAAGTTAATGCCAGTATGTAAAATATTGTCAACTTTAAACAGTAGGTATTATTCTAAAAAGATACATAAAATTATCAAGTTGTGATTCTCAAGCTGCAATGTAAGTACCCATTCTGTGTAGTGATTCAAAACCACACAGCACTGTCTCCTTAGAATGCCTAGGACTAGTGTGTCAGTCTGTAGGCTCACTGGTATTGACACGTGTGCTTCCAAAGATCTTTGTGTGTGGCTAGTTCCACGTTCATCAGCAAATGTGAAATTGTGATATGTTTCTTAGAATCTAATACCGCTGAACATTACTTGTAAAATTAAACAATACTCCAAATTCCATGCAGCACAGGTAGAGAGGAAAACTCCCAGCCGTGTGTGCCAAGAAATACAGTTGTATTTTCTTTCTCTTGTCAGTTAAGGGGTTTGCTCTTTGCATTCTTTCAGCAACGTAGCATTTGCAGCAGTAGTAATGTACATTGCTATACAGTGAATTTGGCAGTGTGGTTGAATGCTGTTAATTGTTTTGTATCTATTACCAGTGGAAACGAGAGCAAGAATTTGATTTGCAGTTACTTGAGAGGGCAATTCGTGGAGAAGAGAAGGATGAGAATGAATGGTTAAAAGTTCAGCCAGTAGCAGTGACAGAGACAGACCTGGAGCCTCAAGACTATGATTTAGATATCAGCAGAGAGGTAACACTCATAATTTTTTACCTCCTATTCTGTTTAAATATTAACCTGTCTTAAGTTTTAGGCACTGAATTCTTATCTTTTCTTTCAAAAGTTAGCTGGAAGTTTGAACTAAAAGGAGTCTTTGGGGTTTTGCAAACTTGTGACCTGGAACATAAAATCTCTGTAAGGTTTGTGTTTGTATTGTGTTCTAGTGGAGAGAAGAAATTGAAAAGTTAGCTTTACTGTTTGAAATATATATCTCAGGCTTTGTAAAGGAAAAAGCGATTAAGTTAGGGAAAGTTATATTAATTGGAGAAAGAAGATGAAAAGACAACATGAAGAGTATTTGAAAATAAGAAACAGGAAAGAAGAAAAAGTTTAGTTCCCCAGAGGTACCTTACTCCTCTTCACTTTGACTGGCAAAAGGTGACAGAGAAGAGGGAGCACTGCTTTATTCAGACTTGAAAAGAAAACACCTTTCTATCAGATTTTGGAATGCCTTGGTTGGTGTTCTGGACACAAGATCTTTTTTCAGCTTCGGTAACCGAATTAAGTGTTAGTTTGAAATGCGATTGAGCCATCTGGTGGGAAAGAAAGAATATAGCAAGTGTAAAGGTTTAAGGAGGTACACTGTGTTGTGTTAAATGCCATGGTAGATGGCAGGTCACTAAAATTATTAATGATAATTAGACTGGTAAGCACCTTTACTCTTCTGAAAGCTGTTGGCAGAGTAGCATTTTATAGAGAGAGATATTTGTAAAAGGTTTACTCTGTGAGCCTCTGTGAGGATTGTCTGCTAATCTCTATGAATGAATGAATGTATCTTTCAGTTAAACTTTGTATAATTTTTACAGAAAATGCAGTGCTTTTGTAAACTTCAGAAACAGAAAAAATACTTTTGTTCTATTTCCTGTCCTTGTTGTACTCTGCTATTAATTTTTCTTTTCCTGAAGACCCCCAGGGCAATGGGAATCACTTTCAACTTCCTTAATTTAAGCCTTGGATAGGAAACATTTTTTCTTACAGGCATTTCTGTCCTACTTCAGAGTAACTGAAACAGGTCTGAAGCTCTGAGGGTAAAGCTTCTTTTTCAGTTTACCCAGGTTAGAGTCATAGAATCATAGAATGGTTTGGATTGAAAGGGATCTTAAAGATCATCTAGTTCCAACTCTTCTACCATGGGCAGGGACACCTCCCACTAGACCAGATTGCTCAGAGCCCCATCCTGGTCTTGTTGTCCTTTTCCATTTCTGTACTTTAGGTACTTCAGTGCCTCAGAAGGAAATGTACTGAGCTGTTCACATGTTAACTGGGTTTGTTATTCTGAAAATGGCAGGATATTCTGATCTAGGTTAGTTATATTAGGGAGATAGATACAGACATTTAAAAAAACCCCAAACACAACTCTATATATGTAGATAGATACATAGATAGCTCCAAAGGGGAGTTGGATTTCAAAGTAAGGAAGTGTAGTGAAAACAGGAGGATTTTTTTAGGAAGCATTGGCTTTGTGTTTCCTGAGAAGGAAGTATAAAAAATTTGAGGCTGTGATTTTAATATGGACATAAATGCCAGTGACTGTTTGTATGCTTTTGGCCCATGATTGCCTGTGAATTACAGAGCCTAATCACTGAGATTTGGGTTAGGCCACTTTACATAATTGAATTAGTGTGAACTAAGTTCAGTGGTGAAAAAATGTAGCAGTGTTTTTATTGAAAACTTTGAATTTTGAAAACTCATTGCCTCATGAGTGTTTTAACAAAAATCCAATGAGAAGAATCAAAAATAGTTCTCCTTTACTTATTTCTATTTATTTACACACCCTCTATTTTTGTTTTTCAAAAGCAGTCTGTTCTGTATTATAAGCATTGGTTTTCAAAGTCCTTTTCTAAACTGTGTTTTCATTGAGTGATTTAGGTCTCTTATGTGGAGAAAAAATTTTCCCCAAAGTAATTGATCCTAACAAAAACTTGTTGCTAGCTTTCATGCAATTATGTAGAAATTTTCAGTTTGCAGAAGTACATCTATGCAACATGTTGTTACAATTGCACAGTGTAGTGTATTTCTGTTTGCCTTTTTTTTTTTCTCCACTGCTCCCAGAAGAATATGCAGTCTCAGAAGAATTATACCATAGGTTAAAACTTTAGGTGGTATTTCCTTTCAATTGTAGAAGTTCTTGCTTGCACAACATAAAAATGACATTAACATCTCAGGTTGTTCAGTCAATCTTGCAGTGGTTGCTTCTTTTTACTGTAACACCTTTAGTCAGAGCCCTACTTCGGGCTCTAAGCCTGAGCTGAAGAAAGGTTCCCTGTTGATTCTGATTTCTTTTGTAATCCCCTTTAATATTTGTTTGATCTGTCTTCTAAAGTAAAACAAATCAGAGGGAAAAGACACAGTTAAAAGGGCATCCACTCATATCCAGAGGGAGTGTTTAGCATCAGGTACATGTGCTGACTGCGAAAATCCATGCTTTATTCTTTTCACTGTGTTCTCCCATTGCGGAGAATTCATCTCAAGTTTTTTAGGCATTTGTTATTAAAAAAATGATGCTTGCTTTCTTTCCACAGTTGTCAAAACCTGAGAAGGTTGTAATTCCAGAACGTTATGTTGAACTGGAGCCAGAAGAGCCTCTTTCTACTGAAGAACTGGCAGCAAGGCAGCGTAAAGCAGAAAAGATAAAGAATATTCTTACTAAATCAAGGTCAGGTTTTGGGGTTTTTCCCAAATCTTATATAGAGGCTAATGCTGAATATTGAGAACTAACTCGATGCAACAATCTTAATTCCTATGAATTACCTAAATGTAACTTTTAGCTTTTGGAAAGTGAACTCTGAATTTGTGTAGTATGCTTAAAGCTGCTTTTTAAAGCAAATTTTTAAAACAAATTTTGTATATGTCCATTTTCTTGTTCAGAGAATCCTAAAATAGTAGTGAGTCCTTACTAAGCAACTTGTAGATGAGAGTGAGGAGGAAGGAAAGGCACAAATCTGGCCAAAAGCAGAAGAAAAGTCAGCGTGAGAGCTGGAGTTGTGAAAGAACACTTTTGGCTACTTACAGCTGATGTAGAGTCAGCTGAAACATTCAGTTTCAAGAATTTGATATGTCAAGTATCTGCTGTCTCTGGAAGACAATTGAAGAGGCTGTGCCTGAGGGCTACCAGGTTATATGCCTTTTTGACTGAGCACTAGCAAGAAATTTTACTGGCAACTTCAAATAAATAGAATTTTTTGTAGTGCTTTTGTGTTAGCAGTGTATTTCCAACAAAGGGCTACTTAAGGCTTTGCAGAAATCGTGACTGAACATGTAATGGCTGTGTCATTTTTCTTTGTATGCTGTAGGCATTTACATGCAATAGTGACACTACTTTAAAGAACAGCAATAAAGTACGGAGCTTGATAGATGAGATCTGAAAACTGCCGTACGAATTCAAGCTTGTTCTTATCTGCATGGTGGATTCTTTATGTTTGCAAATGTTAATGTTGTTTTTCACTTTCCCACTAGTATGCACAATCTACAGCCTACTGTAGCCCAGGACAAACACAACTCGATTGATTTAGATTCACAGCTGCAAGAGCAGGAGCGCATCATTACCATATCATACGCTTTGGCTTCTGAAGCCTCTCAGAGGAGCAAGGAGGTAGCAGGTAATGCTTAGTTATTTACAAAATAACAGCTATTTCTTACCAGCTTCCAAAGTTGTATGGGGTTGTTGCTGAACTCCTGGCATAAGAGAAAGTTTTAGTCATTCCTATTCAAAATAGTGTGTATAAGTAACAAACGTAGAAGAGTCTAACAATTTACAGTGAGTATTTGGCCTCAGTGGACTGGATGAAGGGGGCAAAGTAGTATGATCAATAAGTTCAGAACTTGAAAACTTGCTCTAACTAATAGTGCTAAAAAAATAACATTTTAACTGAATTCTCTATAATTATATTAAATTGGATATTTCTATATTTTTAAAAAGAATATTGATTTGTGACTTTAAAAAATCAAGAGAAAAGGATTTAAAATAGTTTTTCTTAACCTAAAGAATCCCTGGTCCACTGATTGAGATTAGAGTACAATCATTTTCAACTTGAGCTGTGTGACAACAGGCTGAAAAAGACCTTGTAAAACAGGGATTGGCACGTTTCCGTCTGGTGACCAAGATTAGAGGTCAGAGCAAGACAGCTGTGCATGAATTCTACTTGATGCCTGGAAATTAATAGATCCTCTGCAATATGTTACTAAAAGTGATAATTTCACTCTTGATTGCTTTATAGTTGAAATAAGTAAGAAATGTCAAGAGATTTGTATCACACAGTAATCCATGCAGCAGCGATTCCAGCAAGTATCTGACTGGCCATTTATAACTGGCACCATTCACTGTTCCAGTGGAGAATGGAAATAATGGAAACTTCAACTATGATGGAGAAAAAATGTGCACATTTCTCATCTGAAGTTGTCAGTTTAAACTTATGGCACTTGCCACAGCAGCCCTTAAGACCTTCCCATTAAAGACAGATTATTCCAATATCCAGATGCGTAACATGCATCTACAGTAGCAGACTGCTGATTGAATGTGGCTGTATACTCAGGGATGCAGTGCCAGCTAAACCTAAGGGGAATGGGATTTTGAGGCGATGGAATACATTTTCAAGATAGGAATCTTGAGACTTCAGAGAGTTTCTGTGGGTAATTTAACTGACTGGCAGGGGTAAAATGATTGACTGAGGAGACAAGACGTTATAAAACCAAACCAAACACACAAAAAACCAGAATTGTAAAATCATGAGAGCGTATCAAGGAATAACCTCGTGGACCTTCAGGCCATCAGTGTATCAGAAGGGCTTCTCCACAGGTGGTCTGGTCCCAATTCTAGTGACCAGGTCCTTGTAACAGGAACTCTGGTACTTCATGTTTCATGAGGAATGAGCCAGTGCAGCATTTTGGCAAGCGAGTTCTAGCTTCTGCTGGGAAAAGGTCACACTAAAGCCAGGATCAGCCCAGATGAATGCAGCCCATACTTAAAATTATTCCTCTGTGTCTGTACGACAAGAGCAGAGTGCCTTCCCTACTTAAAGGTCTTCATGGGGCCAGATAACTTACTTCTGGGTATATCTGAATTTGTAGCAACTGTACAGAACTGAAATAAGTTTGATTTTTAAATATTGTATGGTGAATGTAGAAGGGTTTTCATTACTATAGTTTTTTAATTTATATTTTAACTTTTTAAATTGTAATTTTTTCGAAAGTGTGACTGTCACATATTTATAGGTATATGTAACCACAGAAATCCTCTTAATTCTTTAGTTTTCCTCAATGAGGGAATTAAAATATGTATTGGCACTGAAATGTTTAAATGGAACTTCAAAACATTTGCAGTCAGTTGTGAGATAATTTTTAGTTTAATTTTCTTTGTGAAGTACAGCAGCTGCCTCTTTTGTCATTCAGACACTTAAAGAAATCCTAACACAGTAGCTAAGGACTGAGGGTTTTAAGGAATCCCAAAATGTTACGTCTGTGCACAGTTTTCCTTGCCGCGCTTGTATCTCAAAAATTCTTTTATTGAAACATGTCTGGCTTTGATTTTGATTATTACTTACTCCTTTAAAAGCAAACACCTTTCATAGTATTTAAAAAAAAAAAAGAAAAGGAAGAAGTCAGAGTGGTTTGGTTTTGATAGAAAATCTACAAACCAGAAAAGAGTTCAGGTTTTTATTTATGGCATATTTTCGATGATCTAAGGTGATTAAAAAGAAAAGCATTTGATGCTTTGCACAGCTGATTGTACATTCTCATTTAGTCTCATATTACAGATTCTTTCACGTTGTTATTTTGGTAGTTTGATTTTTGAAGTGTGAGTTGTCATTTGCTCCTTGATGATGAAACAGACAATATATGAAAATCCAAAAGTAATTATCTAGATTTTTTTACGAAGGTTTGCTTATGAAAAAGACTGTGAAGCTTAACTTTTCCCATTTTTCAGGGGGAAGCAGTTATGTTAAGGTGCTATGCTAATATAAATCTTTTTAAATAAATTGTACATTTATCTAATCCTTGAAAAGCAGCATTTTAGAGTTCCTCTGTTCCTACTAAGAAATCAATCTTCTAAATGGAAACCATGTCAAGAATCTGGAAGATTAAAGTCAAATACAAGAGCATTAAGAAGTCACTTCCTAATTTGTTTGCTTTGGAATTACATCTATCTTCAGCCTTCCAAAATATAAAAGCAGAATTTTAGACTGAGTTTCAATCTCTTCAGTTTTATGATTATTGTCTTCCAATACTATATCATTAGTCTTATTTAGAAACAATGATAGTTTTAATAACTGTGTTCTTTATCCTGTATTTTTAAGCTGAGATCTGAAAATTTACTTACTGTATCATGCACTGTACTAAGCAAAATGTTACATGCATATGTAATATTTTAAAAATTATTTTTCTTTATGTTATTTTATTTCTGCTCATTGGCATATAACAAAGGAAATGTTGAAAACCCGTATAGCCTCAGTGGTGTCTTGAAATCAAATTAGCAAATACAGGTGCAGGTCCAGAACTGCAGTTTTAAAAGCAGGACTGATGAGAGTATATTAGTGTTGTGTGCTTTAATCATGTTCCAGTGAAACTTGAATACTTATCCGTGTTCTCATCCAAACAGGAATGTTTATTTGCATAACTTCTGCAACAAATAGAAAAAAACCAGCAATTAGAAAGAAATGTTGTCATCTAGACTGTATTCTGTGTGACTAAAATAGTGTAGCACCTCATTGTATTACTAATCAGGTTTCCTATTCATGTGGTAGAAAATTAAGGTCACTCCCTTGATAATATGAATGTTTGATTGTGCAGCCTAATTCCTGTATGTGATCCCTTCTAGCTCAGCAGTTGACCTATCCACCTAAAGCACCCTCACCTTCTGTACCACAGCCACCTCACTCCCCCTTAAGCAATGGATTTCACTACACATTTGTTTAAACACCTTAAAAGTAAGAACTAACTGCTCTCGGCATGTCTGATTTGCCATTGTGCCTGTGCTGTGGCTTGCTACATTTTAACATCTTTACTAAACCGAAATTGGATCCAAATGAAAGCATGCAGCTATTTTTCCTGAAACCTTTCATTCTTGTGAATATTGCTTCTAATGAGCTAACACGTGGGCTTCTGAAGTCTTCAGGTAACTCCTGTTGCTCTACAGATAAGGTGCTTCCACAATCTCACTGCGGTGAAGGAGGGAGACATCTGTACTGTTGGTAGCAAGGGGCCAGATTTTCAGCAGCCGTTTGTACTCCGATGGCCACTGCTGGGTACTCTAGTGGCCACTGTTGGGGTGCACAGGTGTTTTTCTGCCTGTGTGTGCCGTATAAAGTTGCTGCTCAAGAGAATCCAAAGAGCAGGGGGTTTGTTTGTGGGCTGGTTATCTTACACACGAGCTGGCATCGGAGTCCTGACTGTGGTGAGCTGAATATTTGGCCCTTTATGACTAAGTCTGCAATCTTGTGTCTGGCTATGATTGTGCCTTTGGTGTGTTTTTCATTGAATTGTGTTAACAGAAGATTATTTTTTTCTCTGATTAGGTTATTTTGCCACTTCAAATCTCGTTGTCCTTATTAAGAAATGTCTTTATTTGTATCTCTTCCTGGTAGGACTTGCAGTGTTTTCTATATTTGAAATAGAAAAACATGTAAATATTGCATACGACTGCTAAGTGTGTCCCTAGTTAAGACACTCGCATCCATAGTTTCCTTTGATACTATTCTCATATTTCTGATGTCTTTTGGCCTAATTTTATTGCCTGAAATTGAAGAAAAAGTTAAAACACAGATGAAATAGTAAAGAGGGTTGATTGAGTAACTCAAATAGTGTTAATCTTTAGATAACTTTGTTTTAATTGCCACTAATCTGAGTCAAATATCTGTGCAAAAAAATAAAAATCTAAATGGAAATGGCCACATACCAGAAAGGCCTTCTACAAGACCTGTGAAAAATGACAAATTTACATCAAGAGAGATGTATAGACATTAAGAGCCTCTACAGATCTTGATGGAAAGGACTGTTTGCTTTTCTGGTTCAGTTTATCTTTCTGAGAACCAGATTCTACCATCTTTGCTGTGTCTGAAGAACACTTGACTCTTCTATATCCAGGGGTATGCTAGCTGATTTTTGCTGTCACATAAGATCTTTGCATGTGAAGAGGTCTTAAGAGGTCTCTACCTATGTGTGGTCTAAAGAACCCAGAAAAATAATTGTACAGTGCCAGAGTATTAGATATAAAAAGGTACCTTTTCTTGCGAAAAATAAACTAATTGTAATGACCAGCACCATGCAGGGGGCACAGGCGTTTGAGCATCAGTGGCATCGTGAGATAATTATTCATTTAATGTGTCTGTGTGAATTGTTTATTCTGCCAAACTGCAGAAGGCTTTAAAAAAACCCAAACGTTTGCAGAAATTGCTTACTGCTTGGCATTGGTTTACTTGTTTCAGTATTTAACCATGTTTTATTTTACTTCATACTAGCCAAAGCAGTAAGTGAACACTGACATAAGACTGGAGGCAAATCCCACCTAGTGACACTGTGTGGAAGACAGAGGAGGTTCTTCACCAGCTTTCTGTGAAGATACTCATCGGCTGATGACACATTCTTCTGGAAATACATTCAGAAAATAATAGGGGGATTTTCTATGAAAATGAAGAGAACTGCAAATCTTTTTTTATTTACTTCCGTTTAGTTCACACTTTTTATACAAATAAACGGCACTTTTAATAAACTCTGTAAAATACTGACAATGTATTTTTAGAACAATGTATTTTAGATTTTTTTTTTTTAAATCAAGGGCTGAATTCATTTTAAAAGACACTACTTGCATAGATATTAAAAGACACTGTTACTTTCCCCTCAGGCTCAGATGCACATTGTAAAGTTTTGTGAAAAAAAAACGTACATTTGAACAAACCTAGGAGCACATTCATAGCGCATGGATAGAGCAAACACAGGTGACAGGTTTGGTGAAAGGGTGTTTTGGATTGAATATTTTTGTGGAGTTAATCACCCACCCTTTTGCCCATTAAATAATACATTGCAAGAACTTTTAGCTTGAATTTCTAAATATTAGTAACCACTGTATAGCTTAAATTTCCCAAGAAAGCCATAATGAAAACCAGTTTTGACTCCCATTTCATTTTTTGATCCCAGATGGTTAACTTGCTGGTATAAATACACAGTTTGCTAGTTTGCCCTTGACAGTAGTGCTGCCCCCTCCATAACAAACAGCTAACAAATTTTATTTTTTCTGAAAGTTGAGATGTGAAAGAAGACGACTTTTAATTAAGTAAGCAATAAAAAATTATAATATGTCATTTTACTAGCAAATACGTATTTTTCTTTTGATTTTTTTTTTCAATAAACCTTCCATTACGATGTATTGACTAGTATTTATCCTGGAAACAGCAAAACTAATGTAATGTGGCACCTGTTAATTTCTTACGTATGTTCACCTGGTGCTTAACTCTGCCAAATTTTTTGAAATTCAGTGTTGTACTTATGCATGGGGCAGAGGGTGAGGTAGTTAACATAAGAAGAAAATAAAATTAAATGAATTGCTGCAACTATACTTGAAAAAACCCTGTGTACGCATTGAATGCAAGACATGCAAAAATGTCCCAATGTTATGTAATTAGTAGCTGAGTTCAGCTCTGGATGAGAAATAACTGAGAAATACTTCTGCAGTATTTTGTGAAACCACTAACTTGTTTATTTTCTGTATTTGAGTAATAGCTAAAACCCCCTTGAAATTGCCCCTTGTGTTTCAGACTTTAAGACAAATATTATATTAACACTATACTCAGAAATATTCTTTAAAGTATATATTTAGCTAATACAATCTGTTTTACCTCAATACTGCCAGTATCAACTTCAAAACCTTTTGCCAAAATAATGATTTATTTTTGCCTTTATAAAAAGTTTTGAAAACATAAATGAATATTTTGCAAGAAAACATTAATTTAAATAAAATGTAACAGTTTGGAAAATGGTATATGTACAGATTAAAATATTAACATAACTTCCTCCTAGTGCCTCTTTCTTGTCTGCTGTCTTATCAGTGTCCAGATCAGTGGAAATCCAGAGTCATTTGTGCTGTAACTATATTTTACTCTTCTTTGATTCAAATGCCAGTGAAATTCCCCAGTTTTGCACTTATTTCACTGGAATTTGAATGAGGTTCCCTCTACTCCAATGCTTCATTTTTTTTTAATTATTATTTTGCTTAGAAATGTTTTTTTTTAAGTGTTTGATTAAATGTGACTTAATTCTTGAGTATAAAGATTTTTCAGGGTTGTGTACTAAACATAATAACCCCGGTACTGTCCTTTAAATCTCATAAATACAGTTGTTTATCTGACACATTTTTAGCCCTTATAAAGTATCAGAAATAGCTTCAATTTGACAACAACCCATCAACCAACCTGGAGGCATCACAGGTGCACTGTATGTGAAATTGGCCGAAGGGAGGAATGGGGGACACCTGCCAAAGCAGGTTCAGGTGCAGCGATTTATTTTCCAGCACTTCCCTCAAATGTTGCCAGTTTGATGGAGACCACTGGGAATATTTAATTCTTCTGAAAATTCATCTGTGGAACAGAAGGTAAAGAAGCAGTTTAGAAGTGTTTCTGGGGCTTAGTGTTGACTCGGCGAACATTTGAGGCTGTGAGTCCTTGACCTTTAAACGGGAGCGGCAGAAATTCAGAGCGGAGCTGCCCCGTTTCTCTGGCACACAAAGGAGCCTTTGACCGCGTGTTTCGTGGTTCAGTGGGACGGCATTCTTTCTGCGGGAGCTTTGTCATGCAGGAGGGAAGAGTGTGTGGCTGTAATTGGTGGGTGAGGAGCAGGGCCCGCGGGGCCAAGGGGCTGCTGCATCCCTTAACTCCAGATTCCGTCTGCTACCCTGGCAATGAAGGGAAAGGAGTGCAGGCACTGCTGCGCTGCAGGTTGTGGTAGATGTTTGTTTTCTTTCCTTTGATCACACACACAAAATCTGCTCGTTCGAGCTTGCATGGAAGGGAAGGATTTTGCCTGGAATAATTTTATCATTAACGTTTTCAGTAAAACCAGTCCTTCTAAAGATTTTGGTCTGTGTCCATAGTTAATCTTATATTTGGGAAAAAATTATGAAGGTGATTTTTATTCCAAAACTTTTTATTGAATATGTGAAATGTTGTTCTTAGTGACCATCTTTTGTAGGGATGAGTGTAGTTTTTAAGTAGTAATGGCTAGTTTTCCTATGCAGATAGTGTTTGGTTTGGGTTAATTTCCTTTTTCAGTTCTTTTAATCAAAATGTTCTTTTCTAAGTGTTACATGCTCCTGTCTAATATTAAAACTAGAAAAAAAATTATATCTACTTGCAGATTGATATCATTTTGGTCAGAAAGTGGCTTTTTTTTTCCTTCTGCCTATTAAGCAGTGAAGTGTTTGGGACTAATTATACTCACTCATTAGAAATCATTATCAGTTGTTTTGAATGTAGTGTTTTTTGATTAGTATTTTGTAATGTTATACCAAGCAAAAACTATGCAGACTGACTTCCCATATACATCTGTTTCCAATTTCTTCAGCTGAAGTTACTAAAATTTTATTGCTCAGCTGCATTTATAAAAGTACAGCCTGATACTCGTAAGTAGCACCTCTGTCACCTTTTTGGACTTGCACAACGTCCCCCACCTCTGTTTTTCACTACTCTTAAGTTTGCGTGCATTGCTGGGCTGCTGGGAACCCTGTTGAGTTGTGCTATTGCTTGTCTTTGCACGTCTGTATTAAGCTGTTTGTTTTGAAGGACTGGGCAAGTAGCAGTGCTTAGAGGCATCCAGGCTGTTCTGGAACAGTTGAGAAATGCTCCCTCCTCTCCCCTCCCTCCCCCGCAAAAAAAACCCCAAACAAAACTAAAACAAACCTCACCCCAAAACCCCAAAATTAGATAGAAGGTTTTTTCAGGAAACTATTAAGAGATTCTATTCTGGGATGTTTCTTATGTGTGGAGCGAAAAGCTACTGAAGGATGCTACTAAATTGTGTGCTGCTGTTTCAAAAAATTGTTAAAGCCCAGTAAGGTCTTGGGTAACCCATAGCCTTTGGAGGGAGGGGTTGGTGTTTTGAGAAAGCAGAGTGCTTCTGTCATGTTCTGGTGCTCTTTACACCAGTGTTTTTCCACTTGCACCATTTACTCATCTGATTTCTAGATCTTCAAGTGTATGTATTTTATATCAGTGTCTGTTCCCCTCTATAAAACACCTATTTCCCATATGTCTCAGCAATTAACTTCTGGACGTTATATGAAGGGAAGA